TATAGTATAACTGGTCCTGTGATTGGGCTGGGGGCGGAGCCTCTTCATGTTGTTCCCTCTCCGGTGTTTTTTTATCCTGTCTAAAACTATGAATTTTATTCGCCTTTTATTTGGGTATAGTATTCTCCTCCATACCAAAAATAATTATTTTTCAACGAAAAATCTGTGCATTTAATGAGAAAGGAAATTTGAATATCTTCTAAGTTTGAAAAATTTGTTAAGCCCCATCTTATCGCTTCTAAGCCGTTCCTATGTGGTATATTAGTGTACAAAGACGTCACGTCCATAGTTGCTAGAAGCATATCATTGTCATAAGTTATAGTTGCCAATTTTTTAATAATTTCCCCGCTGTCTCTAAGGTAAGTTTTAGTACATTTGACAAGTGGTTGCAAGAACCAGTCAATGTATTCACCCAGACGGGATGTCAGTGAATTTATGCCACTGACTATCGGTCTTCCCGGTGGTTTTGTAGGATTTTTATGGATCTTGGGTAGAAAATATATTATCGGTACTCTTCCCACTGTGGGCAGCAGATATTTATACTCCTTTTTCATTAGAATCTTCTTTTTCAATCCATCTTTCAGTAAAACTTTTAATTGTTTCTTGATTTCTGTGGTTGGGTTTTTCTTTATTTTTTATATGTCTCCTGATCTCCTAGGATATTACTCATTTCTTCTTCATAGTAAGTTTTATCTAGCAAAACCACTCCCCCACCTTTGTCTGCTGGACGAATCACCACTTCTTTCTTTTCTTCCAGAAGTTTTAAGCCCTTGTCTATATATTCCTTGTTTCTTTTATTCTTTATTTTTAATCCTCTGAGCTCCTCTTCTACCATAACTTTAAAAACTTCAATATGGTGACTAGTCTTGGTAGGTTCCTTATTGGTGCAAATTTTAATCCCAAATCTAATAATTGAATTTCTTCCTGTGAGAGATTAATTGAACTTAAGTTAAAAATGCCTTCTCCTATTCCTCCCATCTTTGTTCTCTTCCATATTCTCTTTCCACCCCTTGTCCCCCTCTTCCGAAATTTCTTCTTCCCCTTCCCCTGTATCCCCATAATTGCTGTGGTGGGGTGTATGGTCTCCCTTGCTCCCGATATTGATATGTCTGTTGTCCTCTTTTTTCTTGTCTCCAATTTAGAGGGGCATATTCGTTGTGTTCTCTCTGGTAGAGGTCTTTCCAATGGGGAACCCTCTCTCTGTTCCGCAACCCTAGAAAATTGTTGCCGTTTATATTATTTGGTGTTTGATATTTTGTCCCATTGGTTTGTTCTCTCTGTGGGTCTTCTAGTATTGGATGAAATCTGCTAATGGTTTCCATGTTATGTTCGAATTTTTGTTGGGATTTTTCTTCATATCCCTCTATTCTTGTACCTCGTGCTTGTTCTCTTGGTATTTCACTCTCTCTCTTTCTTTTTTTGTTAAAATTAATTATTTTATTTTCTACTTCATAGCCTAAACTTTCTTCTTCACTCCCACTATTGTCTCCCTCCTCTTCCTTATCACTGTCACTTAGTGATATAGTGTTTTCTTGGACAAAGCCGCAAACTCTTCTGTTTCTTTATATAGCATTAATCGATCTTTAAGCTCCACGATATTATTCTCTGTCATTTTTAGCTTTCTCTGTTTTTCGTTCTATTAATAGCTTCAGTAATTGTTGTTCACTCTGGTGAAAGAATGCAAACCATTCCTTTGTTGCGTCTAGATCTTTTAAACCGTCATTTAAAGGAATGTCCCATCTTAGGCTTCTCGGGGTTATACCTTCTTTCAAGTACTGTTCATGTGAGACTATGTCCCACCACAATCTTAATTCTTTATCGATTAATGATTTCAATATTTTAAATTCTTTCTGTAAATCCCCACCCTTAGTGTTCCTAGTGCAAAAAACATGATCCAAATTTTTATCCCTATTCCTAACAAACCCAAAAATTTCCATAGCAGCACTAAAAAGACTCACCCTTGTAAAGAAATGGGACACCTACTACGAAATCTCAATCATATTAAATAATATATATTAACTACTAGCGCTATTCGATAGACTTCATCAGATTTCCCAAGGGGTTAATGTTAGGTTTCATGCTAAGGGAACTAGTTTTGATGTGTCATTGGTGTAAAATGGAGGGGAATATATCATGATATATACCCTATATTCGATCAAAGGGAAGAATAAATATGAATGGGGGTAAATATCACCTAGTAAAAAGGGACATATTGATCAATTTTACCTCACTTGTACAATACATTTTATATACACTTAAGTGTTGGAATATATACATTTTATAAGTTTATTTCATTTTTAATTGCTAGAATATAGAGGCATACACAGGTATGTACACGCTACTGAAAGAATCCCATGTGTTTATACAATAACACATACACTCCTTTATATATTAAAATTAAGATTGCCATTATATTGAGATGTTACTGGTCGCTTTATAATGTATTTTAGGACGTTGTTAGTATATAGTATATGTAGGAATTTGCGCACTGCAGGATGTATGCTGTTTTTTTGGCCATATATATATACATATAATTTAATAGATTATGTATATACCGATATATATGTGTAGACACATCTCCAACTTTTAATTATGAATATATGTTTCTAACTTTTAATTATGAGTAAATATGTTTTTAACCATTAAGACACGGCACCAACCCCAATAGGAATCACGATGTGAATTACTGGGTAACATACAGAGGAATATATGCCCAGGTAAAACAATTGGATTGAATTAATTGATGAATTGAATTAAATCTCAATTGAGTAGATGATATAAGTTCCGGTGTCAGATGGGAAGCAATACCCTTTTGAAAAAGTCAAAGATTGACGAAACGCGTCCCTCTGCTTCCTTCCTGACATACCGGATAAACCTTCAAAGGATGGGCGCCATTTACACCCACATGCGAATTTTACTCAACCCATTTCGTAAGTGTAATCATTTATATTTGGAATAAAGGACTTTCGTGACTACACTTAGATCTGCTTTCTCTCTTGTGTCCTTTTTCCCGTCGTACTCGCTCGGTTGGGCTGCTCCTGGAGGGTGTTCGACACTGGCATCAGAACCGTGTGCTGACCGTTTGGAGCTGAGAGAGAAATATAAAGATTTTTTGGGGACTTATGGATTGAAGACAAAGTAATAGACACTTTGTGTTTTTTTGGTTTTCTTTTCTTTTGGTTCTCATTCATTTTTTCCTCCTCTGAGCGAAAGAGTTAAATGCCTCGGTGATTGAAAGAATCGTTTGCGTAACCTAATCCACGCCTTATATAGAGACACTGCTTTTCTTTCTGCTTTTTTTCGTGTTTTTTTCGTTTTGGGGCGATGATAAATGTTTTTATGTGAGCTATTCTGAATCGAATAGCTGTTTAATTGTAATCAACCAATCGAGTGATGAGATCAACCTTTTGAATCTGAATGCACATGTAATCCATATAGACGTGGGGTTGAGTGTTTAATCACAGAATACTGTTTTAATTATCACATCACAAACATTTTTTACTAACGAAATACTGAACAAAACAAAGACACAGCTTATAATTTATTTATTATACATATTTTACACTATTTTATTCATCTTATCCATTAATTTATTTTTCACTTAAATATAAACAAACATTTTTATTGAGATGGAAACACAGTAAGATGATACAGTAAGAATATTGCTCACTACCAAGCGCAACATAATTGCTCACATAGTAGGGAGGAGAGCCTCCAAGGATGGGCCATTTCAGTCTCCAGCTGGAAGTTGGAATAGTAGGATGTTGAGCCTATCCAGCCCGCTGAGTGTCTAAGAAGACAACTTAAATTGTATAGTCTAGCATTGGGGAAGACCATACCTCCCTCGCACCTGGTCAGAAATAGTTTTCGTAGGGCATTCCTTGCCCTTTTTCCCTGCCAAATAATGGCGGTAAAAGTTTTATTTAGGGATGTGACGTCTTTATGTTTCAGGAGAAGGGGCAGAGTTTGCATCGGGTATAATAGCCTGGCAAATGATATCATTTTGACTCAGTGAATTCTGCCAAAGAGTAAGATAGGAAGGTCCCGCCACGCTGCCAACTCCTTTCATATCTTGTCAAAGAGAGGGGATAATTAAGAGTATATAGTGAGGATGGAGTGTTGCCTATGTGGAAACCTAGATATACAATGGATCCCTTGGCAATGTTGTATATGTTGGAGGGGCCTAGCGTGGTCGACGTTCGGGAGGTAAACAGGAGTATAGTTGATTAGAAGCGTTCATGGTCAGGCCTGAAAACTTTTGGTATTTTTGGAACATGGCTTGGATGACAGGTATGTCACTAGAGGGATTATTGGAAAATAATATGATGTCGTCAGCGAACAGCATTATTTTAATGCGTGTTTTTTGGAACACAGTATACAGTTCTAAAAATACAGTTACTGTATAACTGGTGACAAATTGTTGAGTGCGTTTGTCGTTTGTTTTGCTTGACCGATTTGGTGCAGCGACGCATGGGGTTTCTCAGCTGCCATTGGGATGTGCGGGATCCCTTGTGTGTTTCTGTGCTTTTAAGGAGGCTGGGCTTCCTCCTGACAAACCTGCACCCAATTTGAAATCTTCTGCCCCCATGTGCTCCAAGATGGAGACTCTCATAGTTTAGAGTTAGGACCGCACTATAAGAGGTGCCTTGGCGCGGCAGTGCGGCTTTCACATCCTCTGCAGAAGACGTCTATCCAAACCTCTGTTATTATCCTTAGTGGTGAGACAAGTTGTTTTACATGCTGGTTTGTGAGTGTGCCATGATGCCTTTCTACTGTTTTTTTGTAAAGGAATCCCGTGGATGTCTGGAGTGCCCTGGAAGTATACTGACAGCGGCTCCAATTCCAGGTTGAACAACAATGGCGACAGCGGGCAGCCCTGTCTGGTTCCCCCTAGTAAGGGGAAACGGTTGGAGATATTTCTTGGTGTACAAATACGAGCACAGGGAGAGGCATACATTGCTGCTAGAAAAGTGTTGAACCTGCCTGAAAACCCCATCTCATCTAGCACTCTATATAGCCATGAGAATTGTATGCTGTCAAATGCCTTTTTGGCGTCTATAGAAATGAGGGCTAAAGAGGAAGTCGGATGACTTTTAGCATATTCTAAAACTGATAGCAGTTTGCGTACATTGGTTACCGCAGACCGGCCTTTAATGAATCCTACTTGGGCAGGGGATATTAAGTGCGGTAAAAGCCTTGCTAACCTATCAGCTATGATTTTCAATATCAACTTTGCATCTGCGTTAATCAGTGATATTGGCAGTGACAGTGAGATTCCAACTGCTCCACGAATTTGAATGCCGCCTCTGGGTCCTGGAACGCGTGGGGGATCCATCCTCTGTTTGAAAGCGAAGAGTCGCCGGATAGGCCAGAGTGAATCTGATCTTTTTTTGGTACAAGATCGAGCAGACTCTATTGAGCGCTTTGTGTTTCCTGGTGACTTCTGCCGAGTAATCCGCAAAGATGAGAAGGCGATGCCCATCCAGATAGAGTTATTTTTGGCACGAAATGCTTGCATTACTGCCAAGCGATCCGTATAATCCAAGTAGCTGGCTATTACAGGGCGCAGACCTTTCCTTTCCGGGTTAGGAGGCCCCACACAATGCGCACGTTCCACCTTGCACACTGGGTCTTGGCCTAGAAGATCTGGAATGTTGTGAGCGCAGATAGACGCCAGCATCGATGGTCGGTATGACTCTGGTAGGCCTACGATCCTTATGTTGTTTAGGCGAGAGCGATTTCTCGAGGTCATCTACCTTGTCTATTAGGAGTTGGACCTGTTTGGTAGTGGATTGCATGTGGGATGTTGAAGAATCCATTCCTTCCTCTAAGGTTGCTATCCGGGATTCTGCCTCGATAATCCTTTGGGCCTGATGCAGGAGATCATGGCGTAGGGATTGTATGCCCTTGCTTACCGCCTTGTTAACGGCGTCCTGTATAGTGGGGCGAAGTAGTTTGGCCACTTCTGCTGCTATCATGCTGTGGTCGGATAGTGCCGGCATGCCTTCCTCCATGGAGGCGCTAACATCCCGCATGTTGGGAGTGGTGGCCATCTTGGGCTGAGTCTGTGGTTGCTTACCCCGGACAGGAGTGCCTTTGCCGCGATGACCGGTTCGGCGTTTAGCAAGGAACTTGTCCATGTTCCTGAAGATGCGGTCTGTAGTGTGGGAAGCAGAACGGCTGGTTCATGTTGCTGGTGTTAGATTTTATATAGAGTTTAGCCCTGGCTGTGCGGCAGCTCTGCACTCTGCGTCCGCTACATCAGGCGCCGGAACCGGAGGTCTTTTCAATAAACAGGTATTTTATAAACGTATAACAGTATTAAAAAGATTTAATAAAATGCTTTCACTTGTATATATTAAAGATGAAAAGGGACAAAAAAAGGAGACATATATTGTCAGGGTTTAGATAAACTTTAACTTGCAAAGTGAACATTTAGGGGTCTATTCACAAAGCTGCCGAAGGATCCAGCCGTAGCTTTGGCTGATCCTTCGGCTAGCTTAGGTTACGGGAGGCCTTTGGTTCATTAGAACCGAAGGGCTGCTGTACGAGCTATTCACTATAGCCCGAAGCTGGCTGAGCAGCTCAGTTGAGCCGAAGGCATATGCTTTGGCTCGACTGAGCCGAAGTGAAACTCGAAGTGAGCCATTGGCCAGCCGAAAGCCTTGCAACTGACAGCTGGCCAGAGCCAGCCGTGATCTCACGGCTGGCTCCGGCCAGTTGAAATAACAGATCAGCGTCCCCAGGTCACCTGGGGACGCTGAATTGTCATTACACAATGACAACTTGGCGGAGCCAGCTGTGATCTCAGGGCTGGCTCCACCCAGTTGTAATGACATATCTGTCATTGCAACTGGACAGGACCATCCGTGAGATCAAGGCGGGCTCCGCCAAGTTGTTTTTCATTGGCCGGGACCTGCTAGAAGACTCTAGCAGGTCCAACCCAATAGGAAACAGTTGGGCAGAGCTATCTGTCACTGCTAGCTTCACCCAATTGTTGTTTTTATTTTTAAATCTTTATTATTTTTACATCTAATATTTATTTACATTTATGTTTTTCAAATTTACAATGTTTTCTTTTTATTAGCTAATGAACACTAACATGCAAAAAATATTTTTTGTTTTTTCATGTTTTAATGAGCTTTATTTTTTACTTTTTTATTCAATTATCTTTTTTTTCTTTTTTTTTCTTTCTTTATTTGTTAAGGTTTATCATTCATTAAACTTTTTAAACTTTTTTTGTTACTTTTTGTTTTTTTCTACTTTTTTCACTGTTTTAATATTCTGCTTGGTACCACAGAGGTACTGAGCAGAATAGCCGAGCCGAATGCTGCTCGGTGGCATTTGACTATTCACTCAAATGAATGAATAGGTTTGGCCCCTATGAGAATAGGTCGAACTGCAGTGAGAAGCCTGCCGGAGGTTCGGCTCAGCCGATCCAGATGTTGGATCTGCTGAGTCGAACTCCTTCTGCACTTCAGCTTGGCCAATAAACACTCCACATGCTGCGAGCACTCCTTTAGTGTAAACCAAATAAAAACAAGATCAATAGATTATGTGGACAATTACTACTAAATCAAACGAACAAATGATACAAATAGATAATGTTGTGACAACTTTAAACAGTCAGTGAAATATACAAAGACCTTTCATGTTCATTATTTAAGTCCAAAACTCAGCCACAGTCTTCTCCTTAAGTAAGCATACAGAGTAAAGAATTAGTTAAGTTACTTTTAGGGTTAGGCAATAGAGAGATTAGGGACAGTTAGGGGGGCTGCAAGGTACACAGTTGTTCTTGAAACTGAAAGCTTCTTATTCATGTTACAGAAACCTAAGAAAAAAATACATGTTAAAGTTAAAAAACAAAACAAAATGGAAGCCTATTAAAATTGGCAATGTTGCTAAAATTACTATTATTCAATATTACTGTGTTGCCATATAAAGTATTGCTTTTGTAATATCTTCATTAGATATATTGATATATGGGAATATATGTAAACAATTGATTGTATCTATCTGCATATTATGCAACTCCCAGTTTCTCAGTGGTGCTACAGTGAGTTTAATTTTAGGGCCTGACCATTGTTTTTTTTGTTTATCACATCTGACTTGGGTGGTAAACGGCAACCTCATTTGAATCCTCCAATCAAGTTGGGCCCTATGTACATTTGTTAGCCAATGTACAGAAAGAAGGGGATATAAGGTGTTGTTGCCAAGCCAAGCCATGTGCTCTCTTTTTCACCTGGGACCAATAGGCATTCAGTATGAACAGGCATGAAGCTGTGAGGTAAAACACCCCATACTGTACATTGTCTTCTAAATAGTGTTTTGGGTGTCATTTACAATATGTAATCCTACTAATAAATGTATATTGCTGATTGAACTGCTTAATTTGTCCAAGAATCCTCAGATTTAGGTGTGTTTATGTGAATACTCTTATAGTGATTGGAATATATTTACCAATCCACTTGCCAATCCTGGTTAACAACTGGCAAAACATTTACGTTTTGTATTAACTCTAACTTTATTTTTCTGTAAGGGCTGGATCACACCATCTCCAGACCGGCGCTAGTCCACACCATTGCATTTAGTTCCAGAGCATAAGTTTGTGGTATGGGAGTACTTGTAGTTGGGATGTATGCAGCGTCCAGTTTGGGTGCAGATTAAATCCTTCAGGAGGGTGCAGGGAATAGACCCCTGTGGAACTCCCAGGAGAGGCAGCAGCGTCAGACTCAGTGTGCAGGATGTCAGGTGGGTGCAGGGAATAGACCCCTGTGAGACTCCCAGGAGAGGCAGCAGTGGCAGGCTCAGCATACAGGATGGTTCCCTGTACACCAGGAGTTCAGGTTCTGGCTGCGGTGTGGAGAGAGCTGTTACACATGCTTTTTCACATTGCCTCTCTGCTGAAAAGTGACACATTCATGGTCAACCATCCTATCCATTTCACTAAGCCATAGCTCCAGTGTGGGAGGAGAAGTGGAGACCAACCTACGTACCACCTGCCTTGATGCCATGAATAGTGCTCGCTTAATGGCCACAGTCGTATGGGAGGTTGCATCTGGTGCATCTACAATGCCCAGGATGCAAACAAGTGGGGAGTTAGTAAGTGAGGAGTCAAAAACAGAGTTAATGACGTCCAAAACCTCGCCGCAATACCTTACTAGCTTAGGGCATCTCCACAGTAGATGAATTAAAGAACCTTGATGAGCATTGCATTTTGGACAGTTAGGATCAGCCTTGTACCCAATACGGAACAGAAATTCAGGTGTGCAATATATTCTGTGGATAATGAACAATTGCGTCAACCTGTGAGTGGGTGAGAGAAAAGTCCTTTTAATCAAACAAAAAACAAAAGTAATTTTTTGACAAGACATTTATTTTAAAACAAAACCCCAAAAAAGCACCACTAGTCAATCATATTGTCCAGCAATGTAGATCCCACTCGCCAAAATCAAAACAGTCCCATCGACCCTTCCGCTACCGACAAACTCCTGCTGCAAAATTAAGGACACACAGCTGTCATGGAATTTTAAAAAAACAGGCCACAGCCATTTGTTTACATTCCGCCCTGACCTGTCATTTTGCGGCAGGAGTTTGGTGTTAGCGTACATGTCCGCAGGTGGCAGGACTTTCTTGATTTTGGCGAGTCAGCAAGCATCGTTCAGCGTGATTGACAATGGAGTACATTGCCGCTGACCAATGTGATTGACCTTTGGATTGCATCATTGCATACTTTTTTTTCTTTATAATAAAGGACTTATCAAAAACAGTTTTTTTTTGTATTTAATTAAAGGCATTTGTCAAGGTGTTGTGTTTCTATTTACTTTTTTGTGGACTTTTTGGTGAATGAGTAGGGGTACCAACTACCCTTTACTTGTTCACATGGGGGCAGCATCTTTTTTATGGGTCTCCTAAATCTTACTTTTTCTTTTAACTTACTGTATGAGGAAAACTGCCTGAATATTTAAAGAAACTAGACTCTTAAGGAATTGACAATCCCTAGAAATATATTGGTTTGGGAGAATTAATGCTGTCAAGCTGGCCTGCTTTTCCAAACGTCTTTATATTAGAATCAGCAAAAATAAAATGCTTAGATATAAAAGGTTGGAATTCTTGCAGTCCTACACACTAATACATATTACCAGGTGGTGCAAATTGCTCCTTTAGCAATTCTGCATGCCACTACTGTAATGTCCTTGTGGACATTTTTAGATATATCAGACTGTCATCTAAACTCCATTTCATCTCTTTTGTGGATTCTGACCTCTTTGAGATTATTAAGACTTTCTCTGACACTGCATCATTCACAAAAATTCACATTCTGTCTAATACTCAGGCAATTTAAGTTCACTTTATTTACCTATGGCAGACTTGATCATCTTTTGTTTCCACTTGGATTAACAGACTCACAAAGGTTTCATTAGTGGATTTTATACAGCTTTCAGTTTAATAGCTGGTTTCTGACCATGGTTTGAGTTATAAGCCTTTTAACATTCAAAACATTATAATAAAATTTTTAATAAGGAACTTTCTAATTACCTTCTAATTCAACATTACATTAGAATCCTTTATTTGAAATACATCTTCTCTCTTGACATTATTTGACTTTGAGTGGACATGTATAGAGAATCCTCATGCTAAAGACCTCACTTCATCTCTTTATTCCTCCCTCTTTTTTCCAATTAACAAACATAAACTCACTTATGCACTTGTCTGGGAGAGAGAATCTGAATCATCTTGCATAGAGGAAAAATGGCTAAGTTCTGGTCTCAGATAATCCATAGCTCTTTCAATATTCTGTACTTGGCAAACCCGTATAAAGTGAAGCACAGCTGGTATTTAACTCAATGAAAAATACATAATAGATCCCCTTCTCACCTAATTGTTTCCTTCACTGTGGTAACCCTGGCACCATGCTTCATATATGGTGGACCTGTTTCTTAGTTCGACTTCTATGGATTAACCCCTTTGCTGCCAAGGCATCATTTTTGTTTTTTGAACACATGATATAATCCACATTTTAGGCCTGGAAATAAGTTAAAACTCCCAAAATATTATATATTTTCTGAAAGCTAACGCCCTGTAAAACAAAATGTGGGCAGTAGCAAATGTTTATGTTGCACGATATTGGTGCAACTCTTTATCAAACCCCAAATA